GGTCACGGATCATGGCGTTTGGTACTAAATTTGCTTTCTCTGCTAGTTTTGTAATTTTTATCGCTACCACGGTTCTCCTTCGCGAACTAACAGCCAAAAGAAGCATAATAAGAAGTTCGTCTATGCTTATTGCGACGGGAAATGACAAAATGACTTTTCCTGGTCGAAATAATGTTCTGACTCGCCGTTCTCGTTCATTGCTTTTGCCGACATCCTTAAAGTTCTGTATTGGCCTTCAGCTCTCAAGACTTCTATTTTGCTCAACCTCTATGATTCTACTTGCTGGCGACATAAATCCAAACCCTGGTCCTACTAAGAGCTTCAACCAACTCCATGTGTCCTCTCCAATATCCATAAATGGGGATGATTCTAGTGACGATGGAAATTCTTCTGTGTCTGTTATGGACAACTCATCTTCATCCTCCCTTTCTTTCTCCGATTCTGATATTGAGTGGGATCTTAATTCATGCTTTAATCTGGATCTGGGACAAAAAGGTTTACGCTTTGGCAGTTGGAATGTGAACAGTTTGTCGCAATCGAAATTCGAGCAGATAAAACTCTATATGATAGACAAGAACAACAAACCGCAGATTGATATTTTATCCTTAAACGAAACTGCACTAAAGCCTAATATTCCAGACTCTTTATTTACTGTTCCTGGATTTGACTTACATCGTAGAGATCGTAAAGGAGAAAAGACAAAAGGCGGAGTTCTCATATATATTAATCAAGATCTTAAACACAAAAGAAGGACTGATCTGGAAGAAGCAGATATTGAAGGAATTTGGCTTGAGGTTTTTCCTTACAAATCAAAGCGACCACTGTTATTTGCTGGCATTTACCGACCTCCAAACTATACCAAGGAAAATGACGACTGCCTGGAGAGAAATATTGAATCGGCCTATCTATTAAATTTAGAGACAATCCTAACTGGAGATTTTAATGTGAATTTTCTTTCAAGTGCAACTTTCAGGAAACATCGTCTTATCCGTGCCCTTACAAACATGAATTTCAATCAACTAGTTACTGAAATAACCCGGCCAATCAGCAAATCGTGTCTTGACCATATCTATTCAAATTGTCCTAAGAGAATTCACTTTGTTGGTGTRCGGGAATTTGCATTAGCTGATCACATTCCTGTGTTTGCTGTTCGCCTATACAAAATCAAGGATGAGTCTCGCCCAYGTTTTAAACATAAATCAATATCCTATCGTAACATGAAAAAGTTTAATGAGACCCATTTTCTTGACACCTTAAAGGCTACCCCATGGGACACCGCCTTTATCTTCGACACAGTTGATGATATTCTGGCTGCGTTTAACGATTTACTAAACAACGCTTTAGATGAGCATTGTCCCTGGCGTGAGAAAAGAGTAACCCGTGAGAAACAAGCTCCGTGGATGACTAATCATGTGCTAAAATCTATCCAGCTGAGAGATCGACTTCTAAAAAAGGCTCGCTTGTCATCATCACCTGAAGACTGGGAAAACTACAGAAATGTTAGGAATAAAGCTGCAAACTCTATCAAAACTGCCAAATCACAGTATTATAGCAACTGCTTTGAACAAGGTGACCAAAAGAGCATRTGGAAAACAATCAAATYGCTTATTGGTGGAACTTGCAACATTGCCAAAAATGTAAAGATAACCGTCAAAAATTTCAATGAACACTTTGCATCGATAGCAGAACATTTAAGAACTAAGCTACCAGACATTCCCTTAGATATGTCCAAACTTGAGAATTTTGTCCGTTCCAGAAAAGATCCTGATGTTGTTTTCTCAATTCCTCATCTAACAAACGAGTACATTTTGGACACTTTACGATCTTTAAATCCCAAAAAAGCAATTGGTGCCGACAAGTTAAGTGCACGCATATTAAAGATAGCTGCACCAGTTGTTGCTCCTTTCATCACAAAATTAATGAATAAATCCATTGATACCTGCACTTATCCTGATAAATGGAAGATTGCCAAAGTAACACCTTTGTTTAAGTCAGGCAATCGTGATGATGTTAATAACTATCGTCCTATTTCAGTCTTGCCAATTTTATCAAAGCTGCTGGAAAGACATGTCCATGCCCATCTTTACAACTACTTGAATGATAATAATCTGCTGTACTCGAGACAATCTGGCTTTCGCAGACATCACGGTACTGATACCGCGCTTATAAAACTTGTCGATCARCTACTTTWTAACTTGGACAAAAATCGTGTCAGTGGCTTATTGCTTATCGATTACTGCAAAGCCTTCGATATGGTTGACCATAACATTTTACTTTCTAAGTTATCKGCTTATGGCATGGATGAAATATCATTCCAATGGTTTAAATCATATCTCAGTGGTAGACGCCAGTTTGTCCATATTGACAAACAAAATTCTGATCTCACATATATGGCGTATGGGGTACCACAAGGAAGCATTCTTGGACCTCTGCTCTTCATCATTTGTATCAATGACTTGCCTTTACACCTTGGTCATGGTATCAATATCGATTTATATGCAGACGACACTACCATTTCATGTTCAGCAAATGTTAAGGACAAGTCTACTATGGAAGGTACATTGAACGTGGCWTTGAAAAGTGTAGAAAATTGGACCTATCAGAACAAACTACCTCTTAATGAAGTCAAAACTAAATCCATGCTCATTACTGGTAAACGCCTTAAAGACAAGTTTTCAGATACACTTAACATTACTACTAACAATGGGAAAACCCTTGAACAAAATGACTCTGTTCGGCTCCTTGGTATACACATCGACAAAGAACTTTCTTTTAATGACCATGTTAATTATATTTGTACGAAAATTTCACAAAGAATAGGTGTACTTAACAAGATCAAGTCTTTTTTACCGATGAAGCAAAAATTACACTACTATAACGCTATGATAAGGCCTTTATTCAATTATGCCAGTGTTGTTTGGCAATCGTTATGTTCCAAAGACTCGTTACTTAGAATACTAAGATTGCAAAAGAGGGCTGGGAGACTTGTTTTAAATGTCCCCCCTAAGACTAACTCTGTTAGCTTATTTAATGAACTTAAGTGGATACCTTTTTATGAGGAAACCATCATACTGAAATGTGCTATTCTTTTTAAGAGAACTCAACTTACWGTCCCGGAGTACCTGATTAACACGTTACAATTAAATAGCTCTAGGCATTCGAGATCAAATAGATACTCAAATCTAAATTTTATAACTCCTAGGTACGATAAAAAAAGTGAGGGAGGGAAAACTTTTGTAGTTAGTGCCATAGACGTATGGAACAAATTAGATATTTCGTTAAGGAAACAACCAACACTTAACTCTTTTAAAAACAGTCTTTTTAAAATTATTTTTGAGAAACAAAAGCATTTGTTCCATTTTAATCCTTAGTGTTTTAATAACTGTAGGATAATATAATATAGTGTTTTAATGATGTTATAAATAGTTATATATATATATATWTTTTTTAATTTTATATATTCATAATAGTTTTAGTATTAGTTTAGGAGGGCCACAAGTTTATTAGTATTGTATACTATTACGTGTTTACCCTCGTTAAATAAAGTCCTTACTTACTTACTTACTTACTTACTATATTGGTAATCCGACCATTGTCACTGATTTCCCACAAAGAACTTTTAAACAATTACTTTTCAGTTCTATTCAAT